GAAAATTATAAAATATAATATAGAGCTAAAAATAAATATATACTAATATAGGAAAAAAAATAAATTCTATTACAATACAGAGAAAGATAAGTAAACTAAATTTAGGTAGATAAAGAATAAAAAAATATATTCTTTCTTTTATTTAACTAACTGCAGGCTGATCTTTCAATTTGGTAAATTTAAGTCATGAAAAGATATGGTTATATAAATTTTTTGTTTCAATATACTATAAATACAGGAATAACATTACGAGGTAACTAAGATTTTATAGAAGTTATAAATAAATTAGAGGTTACTACTCATTTCGTCTTCATGACTATTCACTTTATCTGGGAATGATAGGTACATTAGGTATGGTTTTTTATTCTCTGGAGCCTATGTTGCTAGCTGATGTCTCTTTCGTTTTACTACTTGTACTTCTTTTTCTATCTTTAATAATTTACTACTTTCTATAACTGCACGAACATAATTTCAGTTATTAGCTAATTTTTCTGTGCAGGCTCATTTGAATGCACATTCGAACAAATGCCAATTTAATTCAACAAAGGTGCAAGTATCATTTTTGGAAATTTTATCATTATAAGGTGCATTGTCAAAATTGTGGGCTTCGACTGGTATTACAGGTGATAAGGTAAGACACTAGTCATGACATTGAGGGAACTTTTTATAATAAGGAATGGTAGTGTAGTACAATATTCAAAATCACTTCTAATTAACTGTCTATGATCTCCATTAGATAAATTTACAACTTTTCGGACCAGATGCTTATATAGTAGGAAGCAGTTGCTAAGAAAGGCAGAGCAACTACAAATCCAGCGGGTGCTATCAGTAAAGTATAACCTAGTAGATTCTGTAGTTCTTGTATTTGTATTCTGCTTTCTCTTGCCTTTATTATTATTACATATCGCTACCTGTTGTTCTTCATTTGTACCATCATAATTCTACTCTTTTTTAAAATCATCCCACTACCATGGCTTGACTATACCATTTAAAAGCTGTGAGAACCTCTCTTTTTGAGCTGGAATTACCTCTTTGAAGAGAGTCTATACGAGTAAATCTAATCGAGGTTGATTAAAATGATGAAGGTAATGTTACTTTATAACACTCCAATGTGACTCAATTTTCATTATTGTTTTGCTTAAGGGTATAGTGGGCTTAGTTGATCATGCTCACAGGTGCCAACATTGTGGAGAGTACCAATTTGTCCATAGGTAAGCCCACAACAGCCGCAGTTCATTTGTATTACAAAATTGGTACATCTCCTTTACTGCATATTTTCTAATATTCTCTGGTATCAAAACATTACTCTGACTGTCTATTGGTATAAATGGATGTAGGTCAAAATGTTTTTGTATCAGATTTAAAATTGTTTCATGATGCACCTGTGGGCATATAATATATGTATATATATTTTAATCTTCATCAGTTGGATAGAAAGTTGGATTGATGAAATCGAATTCTTCAGATGCTCTATTAGCATCATAATTTACAAACAATAATCCTGTACTACTTGATCATTTACCAGTTGCTTTTTTCTGAAACTTAAATTTTAGGACTCGGTTTATATGCCAGGTATATAATTGTACTACTGATGGCCCCCATACTGCTGTTGCAGCATTAATTTCTGCAAAATCCTTATCTGTAAATACAAAATGAGGATTAATATTATATGCTTTCACAGCTTCAAAAAATTCTTCTAAGATTTCATTGCACTTGCTTAGGCTAGTACTTGAATCTATTACTTTTGTTTTATCTAGTACTAGATAAGCAATTGGAAATCCAGTACCATTCACATTCACTATTATACCATACAATTCACAATGATCTCTTGCAGTTTTATAAGTTGCATATATGTAAATTTCACTAATACTAATGTTATAATTATTAATTTCATTTAATAAGGGAGTGGTAAATGCGATTGCTACAGACTCTAAATCCGGTCTATCAAGACATCGATGGAAGCCCTAATCATAGTATTCATCAAGTAGCATATGTGCAGATTTTATATGATTATCATGGCATTGAAAAAGGCTTCTACCTAATATGGATTTCTAATAATAAATTTGTTTTGCTAAATATTTAGAAATATCAAACTTTCAGCGTCTTAAATGGTTTGTAAGGTCTACAGTGGTAAGATGCGCATTTGTTTCAATTTCTTCATGCAATTCAACAGGCATTTCAGAACAAAGATCTGGATGTGGATGGAAAAGTTTATGATAAATATTTACTGCTGCTATGCCAAGACCCAAGTCAACTTTTATCTTAATTTTTCCCTTGCAATCATAGTGAATGTGCCGTTTGTAATTAGAATCTTTGTACTTTCTGTATGCCTCATATGATTGGCAGCATATATAGTAGAATCTGCCAACTTTATCACCAAATTTTTTTGCCATTTTGGCATGATGAAAACTACAAAGTATTTTAATATTAATAATAGTGTTATGGGCGAAACCAAAATTTATAAATTATTTGATCTTATAAGCGAAACTGAAATTTTAATTCACGAAACATTTCAGGTTTGGGTCAAATCTCTGAAAGCTAAGTCCCAAAAATTTAATTGTCACTTGCACTATTCAAAACTTACAATAATTAATAGCAGACTTTGAATATTGCATCACATAAAGTAACAATTAAATTTTCAGAATTTTGCTTTCAAAATTTTGACTCAAATCCAACATTTTAGATTTTGAAATTAGTTTTACTCGCAATACTAATATGTGATTTATTTACTTCCATGAAAAATCATTACCACCTTCTATTTCAGTGATGACAAGAGCAGCAACATCTTTAGCTGTTACATCTGGAGTTGTATCTAAATTTACTAGCAAATTTGTTTGATAGACTGTATTAATAACATCATCATCACTAACTGCTAATTCATTAATTTCAGATTCAATAAAGTTCCCAATGTCAAGACAATCGATCCTGACATATCCAACATCAACATCTACTTCCTGGTTAATGTCTTGACTAATATTTTTTTGATCATAGCTTTCTTTATAAGTTCTGCATGTTTTATAATGAATATTATTTCAAACAAATTGATTTTCAGAATAATTATGTTTACACTTTGTACAGACTATAGCATAAAATGTTCTGTAAATAATGACAATTTTTATATGATATGTGATTTCACTACAAATCAGAAGAGTTTTTTAATAATTTTAATTTTCATCATTAATTATACTTGATATTTATTAGAAAAAACCGCCATATGTTTATTATTGGAATAAACAAGACAAAGGTAAGATTATTGATTATTTGATAATAGAAAAAACAATTGTTAAAACAAAGCTAGAAGTATTAATAACGGAAAGACAATTATTTTTTAACTTTAAAAGAATTAACTTAAAAATAATTTACTATTAATTGTATCATGAAGCAAAGAAATCTCACACTTGCATAACAATTGTATTGCATAACAAATACATCATTTTATAAATAGCTGCCTAATATCTTAAATAAACAATTACTACTATAGCATAACAAATCAATGTTTGATTGAGCTAATCTAAATAACTTGCATAACAATTGCAAATTTAATAAACTAATTATATAATGCATAGTCATTTAATGAATATAAATTAGCAAGCTACATTTTGCCCTTATTCAATTTAATCTAAAGTAAAAATGTATTACCTCTTGACAGTTATAATAAATGGTTAAATGTGCAATTAATTAATTCAAGCCAATTTAAGTAGCTTGTATCATAACAATAAAGATGAATTGCACTGATCATTTTATGTTATGTATTCTAAAAGTATCTTTTATTTATTTTACAAAAGACTTGCATAGCAAATAAGATGAGCCAAAAACTTTCTCATAACAACAGTTTACTTTTAAAAGACTTGCATTACAAATGAGATGAGCATCAAAAATCATTTTGTATACTATTTGTGAAAAATAATTAAAGTGTTCTCAATTATCTTTTATACTTTATTATAGAATATAATTATTTTTCATATGAAAATAAGTGATCTGTTCTTAAAACTCTATAATAACTTAATGAATAAGAAATAAATAAATTATATCTTTTTACTTCTCTATAAGCATTTGCACTATAAAAATATAAACCAAACTCAAATAGAATAGTATAGTATTTATATCTAATTTGGGTTTAAGGTCGTGATTCCTCAAAACCAAAAACAGATATCTTTTTTTTATTGCATCATAAAACTTTATATAAGCTTACTTATTATTATTATGATTTTTTATTAAACAAATGATTTTGAACAAAGATATTTCACTAAAGACCAACAATTAACAAATAATCTATATAAACAACATTAAAGATGCAATTTATTATCTATTTTGTTATAATTTGCCCTGACAAATAATCAGATCATATCTCTAAACATCTGTCGAACATACTTTTTTTTGTTAACTCATTAATACTTTTCACTCAACAAGATGCCACCTAGACAATATAAAAAAAAACCTATTAGGTGACACACTATTAAACAACCTATCACAAGACATAAAGAAGTAATCTATCATCAAATATCCGTTATGAAATATGAAGATAAAGAAAAGGTGATCCATCATCAAATACTTATCTTAGAACATAAAGATATGGAAAAGATAACCTATTATAAAATACCTGCAATAGAAAAAGTTAAAGCAATATTTGAAAGGGACCGACTTATTAAAAAAGAATAAATTTTAGAGTACTCATCATAGATCAGGTTAAAGCCTAATTATCATTTTACTATTAAGTTCACTTCTTTGAGAAATCTTTCTTCAAGATTGTTTGTGCTGCATATTATATATGACCTCATATTTTTGCACAATTGATCCTTTGGAATTATTAATAAAGATCTAACTACTTAGGGATTAGAAAAAAAAATTTTTAGAGTCATAAAGTTAAACATAAAAATGCATTAACAGAATAAAAAAAAAAAAAAAGCAAGTAAATGAGTTCGCGATTATCATAATACTGTAGTGAAGTCATATAAAAAAGATGCCTAGCAACTTTCTTATATTAGAGTCTCTTGTATTTTACTTGTGAGGTATTATTTACAAAGTGAATACTGATCAAAATTTGGATTTATAACTACATCGTGATCCTATTGGTCAGACTGCAGCTGCAGTAGTGCCATGGATCCTGTGACTTGAAATTTGGATGGCTGCCCTGGTCATGTCGAAGAATTGGATCTAAATCAGTCTTATTACAAGGCTTATTTTTGCAACATTTTCAGATAGGAGAGGTAACTTTTTTCTTTATAGTATGGTCTGAATTTACAGAGCAATTCTTTTGAAACTTTACAAGTTTTTTAAGTTTATTAATACATTCTTCTAGTTGAAATAACTTCTTTGCTGGATTCAGTTCACATTTAGAGTTAGAACTTGATGGACCGGTATTTATCTTTGAATTAGATTGATTGAATTCAAAACAGTCCATATTAGAGAAACAGCTATCATAGTTGTATATAGAAAAATATAAATATTGACAATGTTGAGAAATATTTTTAAGCTTTATATGTAATACAGACATCTCTTGTTCCAAAGCTATGATGGAATTTTGGAGATTTTGAAATTCTTTTTTTGATTCCCATTCTATAATATTATAATAATCTTTGGGATGTATCATTCTATAATATATTATAAAAAATATTCTTTATCATGATTTATGTAATTACTTATCTGCTTTCACTTGAAATGAATACAATCTGCTTTAATCAGATCATTTACTCTCTGAATCATCTTTGACAGATTTTTTTGCTGGCATCTTGAAATAAAAATTATATCTGATAACAAAAAAACAATAAATAATTGCAAATTATGAGTGCTTAATATATTTTAAAGATACTAGAAATTCTTGAAAATATCTTTAGCTATATCCCTTACAAAGAACATTTATTTCAACTTTTTATGGTTAATTATACCTGGTATTCAGAAGGAGTTCAATCTCTCCTGAAGTAGTATAGAAATATGTTTTATCGATATAATAATAATTTTAATCTTATTCTATTAATAAGTCAATTTGAAGGTCTTGAGATGCATAAAGAATATAAACCTGTTCACAAAAAAATATATTGGCCTACGGAAAATAAATATAATCACATACATCCTTCTCCTTCTTGTTATGGCTTGGATATAGATGATAGACTTGAAAATATTTCCTCTGAAATTGAAGACATTATTGGATATCTTAAAATGATAAAGGATTACATACCAGCCATGTTATATGTCAAGTTTTGCAAAGATATCGATAACCTTACAAATAATTATCAATCTTAAGAAGATAAAATTCGGGATATATTATACGAACCACCTTTTTATACTGAAGAATAAAAAAGCAAATGATAAAGTCAACTTGCAATCCCTATAATAGGAAATGAAAATTCTATATCTTAAAATAAAAGTCATAAAATTCTGGTTGTTCAGTTTTTAGTTTTTTTAAGATCTTTAGCACCATTTTCAAATGCATTTTCAATTATGTTTATTACTTCTGCTTTTAACTTAGCTTTGTGTTCTGACTCTAATACCCATAGTCTTTCTACCAGTTCATTTAATAAAATTCCTGATTCAAATTTTTCAGCTTTCAAATAATTCTCAGGAGATAATCTGTTAATAAATATTTTTCTAACCTGTTTTTCACTATTACTGGTACTAGCTTTTACTTTCATATAAAAATTCATTACTGAATCATTATCTTGTTTAACCATATCTATAAACTTTTGAATTGAATATTTATTATATTAAGAAAAAAAAAATTTATTATAGGAAATGTTATCTTTGTTTTGGTTTATTGAGTGGGCTAGACTTGATGATTCTGATTACATTCTAAACAAGTAAGTTGTACATTTCCTTCTATATGTCCCAATTTATTATTAATTCTATCTACTGTTCATTGGTCTGGATTTCCAGCTTCGTCCCAATCTTATAACAATTCATTGAGATATAATTTATATTTATTTTCTTGCAAATCTTTTAACTTAAGAATATAGTCAACAGATAGATTAAATTCACAATCTTTTTTCTTATCTTGATCCATTTATCCTACGAGTTTTTCAGAAATAAATAGTCTTAAGGATTGCTCAATTGCTTTCTTATTTTTTGCTTCCTCAATCTCAGAAGATAATGAAGGATCTTCAATTTACACAAGTTGATTCAAATATTCTACATGATCTACTGCAAGATATATTAGATTATTCCATATCAAATGTTCATCAATAACCCAAACCCATTGTGGAGCTTCAAGTGTCATCTCTTGACTAGTATGCACAGTCATAGCATATCCCAAATTCTAATCAAGTATTTTTTCTTCGGTTAATATATCTATTATAAATTTTTCAGAAAGCGTATTCAATGATAAATATATTATATTATTTTTTACTAGTTCCTGTTTCTCAGATAAACCAGAAATTGGAACAAGGCAGTTTTGTTACATTCATCTCTTGGCCTATATATTAATGGAACTGATAGATCTGAATATTTAATACAATATAGTTCAAGGCAATTTTGTGATACAATTCTTTGAGATAGGTGATGTGCTGATAATATATGATCTGAGAGAGTCCATTCCTTTTCGAGACGTTTCCATTTTTCTATAGTTGGGAGAATTTTTCGAAATAATTTTAATTGTATTTAATTATTTTTGCGATATATACCTTTTTTGAGTTCACGTAATTTGGGGCATTTTGCACGATAATCAGTTAAAACTTCTTCATAATAATTGGCGCACTCTTTTAACCAATTATGTGGCATTTCTCCAAAGAATGGCAGAGGTTGTGCATTATCACCACAACAAATTACCTGGCATTTTTGCTCTAATAAATAATTGATAAACATCTTGAGAATATGCTTAGGTACTGTATATACCTCATTCCATATAATGACGTTTGGAAATTTTTTCTCGCCCATTCGCTTAGATGTCCACTCACCTATGCCATTCCATCTAAAAAAACTATACCAGGTTTGGGCTCTCACATCACACTTGTCTCAAAAATCTTTAGCTAATGCATTCATATAAATAAAGACAATCATACTTGTATTTTTATAGACTCAAATTTCACATGTTGTTTTTTCAGATCCACCTTCTCCATTGAGATATGAATTTCGATATTTTGTAATAGGATCATGAATTGAGGGTGCTATACTATCTGGAATATTTTTAATCAATTCTTAATGCCTATTCTTTGGCCAGTATACAATATCAGCAACTGGTCCATATATTTTTTCACCTTTGTCATGCCATTGACCAGGTTGAATTTCTAGGATTTCTTGTTCTTCTGGTTGATGTAAAAGAGCATAGGAGTCTGGTCTATAAAACCATTCTGCAAAGCAAAATCTGCAAATAAATGGTTTATGTCTTTTACAGTCATATTTTACTAGAGGTATTTTGGTTTTTTGAAACTCTTTAATCCACTTTGCATATTCCAATTTTGAAATAAAGAATTCTTCTGAATCAGTACACATTGCACAAGAAGGATAGTATGAACATAAATTTGGATTTGATTTTACCTCAACTTGCTTGAAGAATGCTGGCACATTTTTGATCTTATACAAAGCCTTTTTTTGTATATATATAAAATTGGTAGCAATTCTTACTACTTCATTAGGCCAAATCTCCAGAGCATTTCGAGTAAATTGATATAGGCATATGCTAACATTGATGCTCACAAATGCATATATTGAGGTTGATGTCCTTCATAGTATATAAGTATAAATCCCAGTGGACATCTCTCTTTATCTGCAAAAGTTCCAGCATTAGTACAATCTTTGATCAAGAAATCAAGCTTACCTTCATTTGTTACAAGTCGATAAATAAGGTATTTTTTATCAATCTTGCCACCTTGTGTAAACTTACCTATAATTGCACAACTAATATCTTGATTTTCTGGTAACCATACTTTTGTTTGTTTGATAAGAGAAATAATTGCTTCCCCAACAGTTACACTTTCTAGAATACCAGTTTCAAGAAGATATTGTAGAAATACAATGGGTGCCTATTCTTTATTTTTTATACATCCTTCTCCACTTCAACATGCAAAATGTTTTCCATATCAAACTAGAATTACTGGATGTATATTAGAAGCAAACTTAAAAGAACTTATCTGAGCAAATCCAGTGATATCATCTTGGGGCAATTTTCCATTTACTGCTACTCAGACAAGATGATGTGTTGGATGCCCAAATCGATTAAACCATAGTGCATATTCTTCTTGGCCTCGCATACTTGCTGGATAGCATGATTTTATGTCGATACATACAACATCATTAATGTGATAATTGGGTACATTCCAGCATCCATCATGTTCATGCTTGACACAAGCCTGTCTTATAACATCATTTATTTTTCCAGATATTAGATGCCATTCATTGATTTCATTAGCGAGTCAGCTTCCAGCATAGTTTGCACTGAATATCTGCTTCACTAAATCAACAACTTTTAGAGACTCTGAAAGAATTGATTTCTTTTCCTCATTGATTATTCCTTCCTGATATTGCCAATCTATTGTATTATCAACTAATTGTTTACATGATTCTATAATTTCTGTATGCTTTTTCCATATTCTAAATGTATGACCATCTTCTAGAACAAACTGGGATATTGTTTGACTCGTATTGCCCACTCCCATAAGTCAGATCATTTGAGGACCTTTGAGGGCATTATTTATGGCTTTCCAAGTATCACTCTTACAGTATTCGACCATTCGATCTCTTGAAAAATGTTGGTTTCTTGAAAATGCATGACCATTATGAACTACTATCCCAATTTCTTTATACTTACCTGATCGATACTTTCCACTATTAAATATAGTACCATGGGTTATATTAAGTAATTTAATCGGTCATTTAAGAATTCTTTTCAATTCTGCTACATCTTGTACATGAGCACCGAGAATTCACATTTTTTTCTTTCATGTATCGATTTTTTGCCAATAAATATTTGTGAGCCTATGCCCTCTCTTGGCTTGATCAAAATGTTCTACTACTTATTGAACTATACAGTTAAGTGGCCTATCTTTTATAGGCATTAATCGATTA